GGGCCTTAGTAGTGTCTCAGGTGCACCCCCTAGTGCACCCCAGGAGTGTTTAAGTTCGCGGGTTTGAATGCCCCGTCTACGCGCATGGCAAGACTCCCTCGCTTCTGTCGTGGCATCGAGAAAATATAAGCTCTGGCATTGAAAATGGGCCGTATTCCCATAAAGGTTCCCCTCACCCCTACGTTAAAGCACTCAATAGGCGCAACGCTGCTACTATTGGCTTTCATTCTTTACATCTATGGCGTTAGCGCCCCAGTAGTGCGAATTACGGGTGAGTTAACCCACACTGTGTGCCTGCTCAAAAGTGCTTACTTTCTCCCTCACACAGCTATGTGTATAAAGAGGGCTCAAGAACTGCAGACAAATACGCATCACTCGTCGTCACAGGTTAACACTATTCTGCGCAGTNAAAGAGGGCTCAAGAACTGCAGACAAATACGCATCACTCGTCGTCACAGGTTAACACTATTCTGCGCAGTTGACTTCGTTGTAGTGTATATTTGCTCTCCGTGCCGTCTCTGTGGGCTTTCTGGACTTTGCCCAAACAGACTTCCTGGGAGAAAGGCGTCGCATCTTCTGTGTTTTGTTGTGGCCGACTGCAGGTGGGGGTCCTGTTTTTTTCGATGGCAAAGCAGGCGACCACGATTTCTCTTTGCCCAAACTGCTCCGACTACTATTAGATCAGGGGAACTATGCGCCTTTCGTGTGCATCTTTATGTTTTCATTTGTTTTCCCACTGCTTAAGTTCGCGCTCCTCACGGCCAGTCTAATTAGTTCGGCCTGCTGCTTTCGGTGGGCTTATTCAGTTTCCTCTCCCCTCAGGATGACGATGGTGCTGCGGGTACTGGCCAAGTACCAGTTTGTGGACGTGTTTTCTACTATCATTTTGGTGAGCTTCATCAATTTTGTTGGAGTATCCGCGGAGCCCCTTGTAGCGGCTGGAGCGTATCAAACTTATTGCCTCTTGTCAATCATTACTACACAGTGGATGTGCCACTGCTATTCGGAAAGGTTGGAGCGGTACAGGCTCAGAGAGTGTCGCGGGCAGGTTCATCTCGCTTTGTGCAGTCCTCTGCTTCCGCGATGTATTCCAGTGAACGGACGTACGCGGGAAGATATTATTTTTAATGGATGCGCAGCACCAGTGGATCTTTCAGAATGTTCAACAACATTTTCGGCCCGGAGATTGACAAGGGTTACCTCTCCAGCCTCAGCGGAAGATCCGCGAAGCAACATATTCCTCTGGAGCTCTCAGAACATTCGACATCGGGCCTCCAGCCAATCTCACTCTGCGTCCCCAGACGGATCATACCCGAGACCTGTTAATCTAGCAGAGTGTTCAGGGTACACAAGTTTAGCTGTTACTCAGCCTGCCAACAGTGGGGACAATAACCCCTGTCTGCGTGCTGNATGTTTTTTCGCCGAGTTGCCTCATGCACCTGCCCACATTCCAGAAGGCATAGCCCCTGAGGAGCCCGTACATCTGCCAATTGCTGTCCTACGGGGATCTACATATCCAAAACGTTGTTTTTCAGAGTGCCTACTTCGCATGTTCTTTTTAGCCTGCAGCTTTTGCATATCTGCTTTTTCGGCGTTAACGTGCTGGTTGCGGCCAATTTTGCAAGTTGCTTTAGTTCCCGGAAAGCAAAGGGGCTTCGCAATAGAGACGTCTGTGATGTCCTTGGGTGATGTCTTCTGGAGGTTGTATTCTGTGGGTCCTCTGTGGAGTGGCTGTGCCATTATTGTTGTATTTCCATTATTGGCGACTTTTATTTTGTATGTTGCTTCCATAGGCGCCGTAGCAAGTGCTTGCTTTGTGTACTGGGCTGCAAGGAGTTCATATCAGCTGCCAGAGTGCCCAGTGCCAGGGATTGTTTCGCAGGGGAGCCCCCATAATGCCGTGTACTTCCCGCAGAAGGCTATGCACTTAACGAAGACGTTCTCGAATATTTCTGCATTCCTTGGGGACATAGCAATGCCTGACGTTCAAAGCATTGGTCTGTTGACGTGCTACTTCATAGCCAACAACATTGACTTTTTGGGAGCGCGCCTGCCTGGTACTCCTCTTTCGCAACCTAGCGGAGCCGTAGAGAGCCTCTTGTGGAACATGAGCGGCTTCTGGGCAATGGTAGCGCTGGGACTAAGCGCGTCGCAAGTTCACAGACTTGCGATTTCATTTGAAGATATATGTCAGGATATGCATGCATTGTTCCGTAACAGTAGTGCTTCGAACAGCTCGTATTTAGCTTCTCCATTATTCAGCGCAGATCTACGCCTACCACGATCTCCACTTTGTGACAGTAAAGGAACAGTTCTTGGTGATGGTATGGAACTAATTCCTAATGATTCTGCAGTGGCTTCCACGCCCGAGTTAACCGCTCCAATGGAGAATTCGAATATTCTCAACTGCAACTCGCGGAGCAGGAGGAGCAGGAGCCCGTCGTTGGGATTAATACTTCATGGATGCGTGCGGATGGCTGCATCAGTGGCTCTTCTCTTGCCCATCTGGCTCAAGCCTACGGACATACTTGAGGTTGACATTGGGCTGGTAGTGAGTCGCTACCTCATCACGCATGCCGTTGGTACATAGGGTATGGTACCTNAGATGATTTGTGTTGACGTGCGCCCTTAGAATAAGCATCTGCAAGGGTTTACGGACTACGTAAACCCACTGTTGAAGGAGATTCTGCCCAAGACAGTCGGTGACTGCGCTTCCGCTGCCCATGTAGCTCCACAGCCATGCTTTGGATCGATGCCTCTTGCCTTCATTCGGACGAAGGTTTACGAAGCTACAGCCCGCTGGGCCACAGGTTTAAATACGACCGAGCTGCTGGCTGTGCGCTTTGGTGCAATTCCGGAGAACAGGTAAGCAGGCGGACAGTACCAATATCCACTTTGTCATGATTGGTGTATAGCCCATCAACCAAGGCAAGCTCAGTGTTGGGTCACTACCGTTTTAGCGTGTTGCACAGGTGCAGTCGCATCAGTTCGCCAGAACTTCTTTCCACATGTTGCTTCTGCTAGAGGGCAACTGCCCAGGTACAATGATAAGCGCAGGATATAGTGAAACTCTTCGATAAGTTGGAAAGCGCGTAGAGCTCATCGGGCAATAAGTACCAGCCTGCAATCTGACACACTGCCGGTGTTCGTGGGAGAAAAGTTCCTGTTGAGACGCGTAGGCCGAATCGGACGGACCTCAAACTCCCGTGGCTGTTTGCCGTTGTATCCCTGCAATGCGTTTAGGATTATGTTGACAGTTACGGGGAAAATCAAGTCCCTTGCTTTGTCTTTAAGGATTGGTGGGTGTTTGTATGGCGAGGATCCTGGGAGGTGCCCAACCATATGGGATGGGACGGACGGCTGTTGCGGAGATGACATCAAATTCAGGCTCCAAATGAGCGTCATGTGCAACAGTTCGTTTCCGTATCTTGCTGACGCAATTCTTGCGCCTACGCATATCTCAAAGCTTGTCGTGAAGGAAAATATTTTGGGAATTTTCCCCGTAGAAGTGGCGGATATAACGCAAATCGTCGAAGACCAGCTGTCTGAATGGGCACGAGCCTTTCTTGATCCACATAACAAATGGATCCACTGGAAGGATGGAGAGACTTTAAGTGTTATCAGTCTTTTGAACGTGCTACTAGATATAAATGCGCCAGGTGGAGTCAGATGCCCTCGCGTTTAATGGAATGAGGCTCGGGAATGCGGGGGGCACTGCCCTGTTCTTGTCCAGATGCTATTTCTGATCGGCTAGTTTCCATCAATCCTACTTGGTTAGAATAATACGTGATGTTGAGATGTGAGTAGACAACATTGAGACCTTGCTAAATTCCCTGCCAGGAGCCCTTGAACAATCAGAACTGCTCTGGAAGGCGGAACTCCGTGCACTTGGGAGCCGTCAAGCGTAGGGTTACTCTTATTGTATGTACGAGCCTCCCAAAGAGAAGTATATCGATTATAGCAAGGAGAAGAATTACGCCGGGGCTTCCTGTTGAAGCCACAGGTATGCGCCCATGAAAAGGAGGTTAGAACTAGATGTGTTGCCGGGTACAAAAAAAACTTCAGATGGACGGATGAGGGGGGAGGCAAAGCTGTATCAGCTCGCAGCACTAGTTGCCATTCTTTGCCTTCGAATGAGCGGTAGCCGTTGCAGCGCCTGATGTAGATGGCGATGGTGCCGGTGTTCGTAGGCCTGCGTCTACGGTAGATCGCAACGTGTCGAGGTAAGCTCTTATGGGTAACTTCTTCATGCCAGACTGCAGTACCATCACACTGCCGTCGGGCTCGAGCTCCATTGAAACTTCGCTCATACAACAAAGATACGTGCCCGGGCCAAGCCTGCATATATGAGGAGCAATAGATCGATATTCTGGACTTTCGCACACATGTGCGACTGCCCGATCCAGCGGATCTTCTTGAACGGCAGAATACGGTGGGCAGAAATGCTCGGACTGTAGGCCGTAGCCTGCAGTTGAGGTTCTTGATGCCGATGATGATATAGCCTTGGACGTAGACATGGGCGGCCTTGAGGTAGTCTGGAACTCGTTGGCATTTGCAGCTTTCACCGAAGCCTCGTGCAGCTGGTTTAATGAAGATGCAACCGGCGGAGGGTTTGAGGGAGAATGTTGGCAAGCTACGAAGTCGGCGTCCATGGTGCGAAGACTGTGCTCTACTGGAACTGATGGGATCGCGCTGACTGCAGGAGAGACGTGCAATGGCGCAGTTGAGTGACTGTGCAACTCAGGTGATTGCAGCGCCGCCGACCGCACATAACAATTTTCGGTCGTCTGAGCTGCTCCGATTGCTTTGCGTATTCTTTCCATCGCCGATTCACTCCGAAATAAATCTTGTTTCGCTGCTGCCAACTTCTCACGCTTGTCATTTAAGGCGGCCCTACACAGCTCCTGCTGAATACGGGTTTCAACAGCTAGTTTACGGCTCTTTGACACCTCCGTTAAATAGGCTAGCTGACGCTCAGTATCGTTCTTCCGCAGTTGTGCTTCGAGTTCTTGCATGTATGCGTCTTTTGCAGCCATGGCCTTTAGTACCTGCTGCAACTGGGAGTGAGCCCCCGTAAGGTCATCACTCAGAACACGTACTCGTTCTTCCAGTTGCTTTAATAGGGTGTCCCGGCGCACCACTTCCGCCTGGAGCTGCATGAGCTTTTCATCTCGGTTTGCCAAGGTGGCTTTGAACGCATTGCACTGCTCAGCCGCCACACGGTACTCTTGCTCAGCCTCTTCCCTCTTGCTTTGCTCCTTTTGCAAATGTTCCTTTGAACGGGCTGCTAGGACTTCAAGCTCCCTTGTCTTCTGTTGTAAATACGCCTCGATGCGGGCTACTTTCATATCACGCTGTGAAAGCAGCTCAAGGAGCTCTGCTGCCTCCTTGCGCTTATCCGTGAGCTTCTCAAAGGTGTCTTGCTGCAACTCCTCGACTGCCTCTCGATCTGCACGCAGCTTTTTGATCTCTGCCTCTGCAAGTTCTAGCTTCCCCCGCAGCTCAGAAGCCCCCTGAACCATAGAAATTGCCTGGACGCCTAGTTGCAGAGCCGACGCTTCTTTCGTAGACGGGTCGACACCTTCAAGTATAGCGGTCTGCCGCTCCTTCTGCAGAAGCAACTCCATCAAGTCCTGTCGTTCACGACGTAGCACTTCAACTCGTTTTCGCATGGTCTTGAGCTCGGCCTCTTTCTCTTGAAAAGCGGTCTTGTCAATGCTGCAAGCAAGTGGCGCAAAATCGCAAAGTGTAAGGCATTGTGTAGGTAGGGCCGCTATTGAAATAAATTATGTATGGAGTTAGTTTCGCTGCAACTGTTATTAAGAGGTCCTGTCTCCCACGACAAAACATTTCATCTCAGTATGACACTATGCTCAACCTATTTATCCTGGAGGACATGCATCGCCGCTCCTGCGTTTGCATGCGTAACACTAGGGAATTCGGGACTCACTCGTCGCCCTCCGATTGCTGTTCGTGATCTCCTCGTTTGCGCTGAGACTGCAATCTCGACAGCGCATCCTGCAACTCTGCTTCCTTCAGATCCAGTTGATTCTCTCGAGCGTTAAGCATCGCCTGAAGCCGTTTGACTTCCTGCTGCAATTCGTGTTGGTGAGTTCCGCCAGTTTCACGGGAAGCTACACCAGCTGGAGACGTTACTGCTCTTGGTTGTGGCAGTTCGTCCTTAAAGTTGCCGCGACACTGCGTCCCTGGTTCAGGCACCTTCAGCAAAGAACGGGGCTCAGCGAGCTTGCCGGCGTCGCCTGCTGAATAGGGTGCACTGACATACACAATGTCCTCTGGGGGTAGCGAAAAAGGGGTAGTGCACGCGTATTTTTGTACTGGCTCCTGCACGCGTCGAGGGGCGCCAGTCAAGCAAGCTAGCGGTGGGCAGACACCGGCATTCACGCCCAGCCCAGCCATCTCCTCCACGTAGTTGCTACTGCACACGGGGCTAGTTGACGGTGAAGCTTTCTGAGGAGTCATGTTGAAAGCAGTATGCAAAGGATAAGAAACGTAATGGCTGACGAAAGGAGCCGACCCCGCGTTCGCGTATGTCACGGGACGCATGGTGGGAGGGCATTGGACCCGCTTCAGGACGTGCCGTCGACTGAGCGGGCAGATGTCGTCGCAGTTGAAAAGCGTCATCTGAGACAGCCACAGAAAAAACTCTTCCCACAAGGGCACCGGTAGATATCTAGTTCCCACGATATTCGCGATCCTGGGAGGTTGAGGTGGTGCATCAAGTTGAATACGCCTCTCGCGGGAAGGCCAACTGAACCTTCGGGGCCTGGCTGCTTGGCCTGGAGGAACCTGTTTGAGTGGGTAATGATTCTGGCGTGTGTAATGTTTATATGTTTGTACGGGAAGAACCGCCGGGAGCTCAACGTCTGGTNTCACGCGTATTACAAAATGTGCCTTATTTTGCAATATTTGTGTATTCAAAGCTCTTGAAGCACGCCAACACGGTCTGGTCATCCCGTTTTCCCTAGTGTGTTCTCCGAAGAAGACCGGGGTCGCGGCGTGCGTAAAAGCTCGCCGATGATCGAAAATAACTCCCTTTCAGGCTAAAAATGGAATATAATGCTCAAATGAAGACTACAACTAGCATACCCCCGAAGTAAGGGAGACGGTGAGTCAAATTTGGAGCCGTTCGCTAGTCGCTGGTCCGGAAACGCGGCGACTCTCGAGAATGCATGGGCAATACGGCAACGATGTCAATGATATGAAGAAAATATGTGAGGCTGAAAAGATATAACTGTTAAGAGAAAGGAGCTCTCTTGCCGACACCCCTGGGGTAGGACTGGGGAGGCGCTGGCTGCCAGGGCAACTCAATCGAGGTCCCCAATGGTCCGACAAAACCCAGCTCGGCTAAACTCATGCTCCGCCCTACCTGGCAGCATTCGTCCTAATGNCCAATGGTCCGACAAAACCCAGCTCGGCTAAACTCATGCTCCGCCCTACCTGGCAGCATTCGTCCTAATGGGCTCCAGTTAGTTTTTTCAAAGTTGCTCCACTTAAGAAGCAGACCCTTCGTACTCTTACTCCTAATGACTGCCTCAGCCGGGAGACTAACCGTGCCAAAAGAACCAATGTTGTCGCGGCACGCTGGGGTCCTGCGGGGCGCCGTTAAGTCGGCTGGAGAAATAGGTCACTACGAAAACTAATCAACAAACACATGTTTTCATAAATATTTATATCTATGTATATTTGTTCGCTTTAACTGGCACTAGTTGTGTAATATCCTTGTCATATAATGGGGAGTTTCCATGAAATGTGCAGCCTTGGCATACAATTATTATTCAATTAGGACATAAACCACCGCTCGACAGGTAGCAAGCGAGAACGGGAAGAAGAATACGACACTAAAGACAAGAGAATCTTCGTTTCAAGAAGAAGAGGAGACGGTTGACTACCGGGGGCCGAACGTCNGACACTAAAGACAAGAGAATCTTCGTTTCAAGAAGAAGAGGAGACGGTTGACTACCGGGGGCCGAACGTCCGCCCTCCGTAAATTCCGTAAACAGCCTCTCGACCCAAAGGCGTCAGTATGTGCGGTTGCCGTCGGTCGACGCTACATAGTATTGCTGTCGCCTAAGGTATCACTATGCGATTTGTCATTGTGCTAGTAATAAACGGTCTGAGAATGTATAAATAACGTATGCTGCTCGCATTCTCAACTGGATTATCACTCATCCATTCACTGGTTTTGCCCCCGCACTACAACCAACAGCCCACTGAGACAGCTGAAGAAGGCAGAACGTAACGTTGAGTCAAGCATATTTTGCAGCAACTCAAGAGTATAACATGTGGGAAGAGTCGACGCCAAAAATGCCTGCGTATGGCGATAGGCTTCGTCCATTACCAAACCCGCAGCTGTGCCTTTGTGCTAGCATTTTGTGGTTCATGCGACAACACACTACTCCAACGTGTGTGAATGGTGACGTATGCGGTATTG